GCGGCGTCTAACCTAGCTATTTGCTTTTATTGATGCTGCTCTTCTTATTTCCTGAATGTGGCGAACCTTGTATTAGTCTCATTTTAAGCTTTGGTCGAGAATTGCCCTGCCTCGGGTGTCGGGAAGTAGTGGTAATCGAGTATCAATGCTTCACAGTATAAATGACGGACTCGCGTCTTATTCGGCGTTGGGCTGTAAATGTCCACTGTTGTCTGTTGTCTTGCCACCCACACCCCCATGTTCTTGACTATGGTCCTTAGCCTGAAAAATATCCCAAATTTCCACATCTGGATTTTTTTCCTTCTGATTACTCTCTAGATATATACCTACAGTTACATTAAAATCCTAAAGAAACGTAAAATATCTGTAGTATTCCCTAATGTTAAGAGTCGTACCCTCTTGCTTTATATTTAGCCAAAAGGTATTCCTTTCTCCTTCCCAATCGGTATTATATGCCCTTATATATTTATGTATATAGTTGTATAAGTACAGATACAGATATATGTATGCATGTATTGTGCATATTTTTTTTCTCTTTCTCCGGGATCACTTGATTCTTTCATCTATAACTGTATACACCTACCTTAGTCCCCGGATATGCGTGAGATATGCGTCATTTATTATACAACAGTACTAGGTATGGAACATCAACAATGAAGGTATCCATTGTGAAATAGGAAGATAACGTATCCAAAAGTACTTATCAATGTAGCAAATGCAGTGATTCATTCAGAACGTCTATTAGAACTTATTTAACAGAGAGATAACTGAAAGGTCATTAAAAAAACCTTTCAACGACACTTGTTTCCATGTCTTTAAGCTTATCAGGGCGTGGCACTTCGCTGACTCGTGACAGGTAATAGCTTCCAGTGGGATGTGGATGCGTCACTTTGTTTAGAGTATTCTTTTATCGATGTGTGTATACTATATGTGCACATCACACACACACCTACACACTAACGCACAGATACACGTAGACATTTGGTCCTAGCTCTCCAGCTTGTTTTGTCCTCATAGTTCTTCAGTCAACCGGAAAAAATGAATGATTCGTAATCAAGATCCAGGTTAGATACACAGTAATTAAAAATAGACAGGCACACAACACAGGTACACAATATTAATTGTTCAGATTTTCAAAAAGATTTCTCGTTTCATCTATTACCCAAACATTGTCATGCAGTCAGGAAGATATAAGTAAATGGTTTATCAAGAACAAGTTTAATCAGTAACAAACGGTTACCCAAAAAATAGTCTAACGATATAAAAAGGAAAAAAAATATTTTTCCTTCATATTTTTGTACAGAAGCAAGGGCACAATAAATAAAGGAAGATATCGGTGAAGAGATGAACAATTCGATCAAATCTAAAATTACTAAGCAGACAACCGCGTCATATAATCAGTAAGGACATATTTGTAGTTTTTGTTTTACAATCTTTGGTGCACGAAAAATAAGGAAATGCATTTATCAGTAAGCATAAAAGAGAAGAACGAGAAAGAAAATGCAACAATAATGCAAAGAACAACGATAAAATACCGTGTTATTTCGTGCGGATGGACAGTAGCGAGAGATCGACCGCGCCCTCGCTAAGCGGCTCTGGTATATATATAAAAGGCAAGGCGCGAGACAACACTTCCCTCGTGTTATGAACAGCTTGAGCGTAAAGGTACATGGTTATTTCTATCGCTTAGGGAACTTTGATGCAGGTTATTTAGTTATTCAGTTATTAATGATTTATTAATGGGCTGGGCTAATTCAAAGGTCGTCTCTTTAAACCCTGGATATATGAAAAAGTGGGTATTACTGAAAATATGCAATAGCTGGATATATAAGCATCAAGCTTTAGACGTGAAGATACCAAGGTATAATGGCATCTCTTAAAAAAAAAAAAAAAAAAAAAAAAAAAAATAACTGATTTATTATTATTATTATATATTCTTTCATGTAGCCGTCGTAGTCCTTTTGCTGGCGGCGCTGGCTCGGGCGACGCCTCAGGAGGGCTACAACTACCCGACGCCCGGGATTCAAGGACTGCCTCTGGCCGGATCCGGATCGGCTTCCGGACAGTTCTCTTCCGGGTCCGGCTTCGGCCAGGACCAATACCCTTCCGTGCCCGCCCAGTACGCCTTCCAGTGGGACGTCAACGACGCGCCTTCAGGGAACTTCTTCGGCCACGGCGAACAGAGAGACAACGACAACACTCAGGGAAAGTAAGTCAGCTCAGGAAACAGCTCCAGGAAGATATATTTGTTCCGCTGCTGTCATAAGATAAAGCAAAGTCAGGGAAGCCATCGTAAGGGGGGGGGGGGGGTCTCTCAATCGTCTTTACATCTCATTCTGTCCACAGGTACTACGTGCAGCTTCCTGACGGACGCCGCCTGGTGGTCGAGTACTACGTGGACAGCGCCGGCTACCACCCCACCGTGTCCTTCGAGGGCGAGATCACAGCCGGAGGTCAGGGGCAGTATGGGCAGGGTCAAGGAGGAGGATCAGGACAGTTC